CTAGAATAATGTCTAGAGATTTGCGGCTTTAAATCTTTATTCCTTTTTCTTTGCGTTTTGATTTGCTTTAATCACCCTCTATTCTTCCTTATTAACTTTTCCTAATCTCTTTAGTTTTGAAGCTTTCCAAAAGTTTCCAAAAGTCAGTGCGCACTTTCTTTATAAAATCCCTTATTCAAAAGTATTGAAAAACAAAGGATTCAAGCAAAGGGGGTAGTCCAGCAAGCAGCTTTCTGACATTATTTACGGGGGGGCTCCTAGAATAATGTCTAGAGATTTGAGGCTTTAAATCTTTATTCCTTTTCTTTGCCTTTTGATTTGCTTTACTTACCATTGAAATTGCAGGTCTTTGGATTCAGATTTCCATTGACATTTGAATTGTTAGTTCTATTTCCATTGATTCATTCCCTTTTATTGTAATTAATATTCCAGATGTCTTCAAAGTTAGGTTTCTTGATTCCTTTTATTTTAGTATTGCCAGAGTAGCTCCAGAGGTAGCTAGCTAAGGATTCCTTATTTAATTATCAATTGATTGATTTTCTTATACATTATTTTGGAGGCCTTGGTTGTTGAGGGGGGGGTTTATAAATCAAGGGACTACATTAGGGTATTATATCAGGCATCACCCACAAATCGTTTCAGTTCAGTCGGAAGGTCCTGGATTTTCACTGGTTAGGAGCCCGTAAGTTCGGTCCATTGGACTCCAAAAGAGGTCACTGGCTCGGAGAATTCGTCACCCCCGTCACCGCCACCCGTCACCACCACTCTTCCCGTCCAGCCTCCACCGCGGCGCCGGCTCGGCGACTGGCCTCGTTGGTGCCCGTGGAAGCAGCTCGGCCGTCAGTTCAGGGCCGTGGAGGTCCGGGACGATGGGGGGACGAAGTTGGGGTGTTCTTGCGTTCGGAGGAAAAGAACGTCTGGACCTTGTATGGTGCCCGTAGCAGTCGAAGCAGTCAATCGCATGGCAAACCTGCTCCAGTAGCGGAGAAAAAACAACGATCCCTAGGGATCCAAGTACCTTCTCAGAAGGCACTTGGACCCTCCAAACCCACCCCAAACACCTTCTGAGAAGGTACTTGGATCCCTAGGGGATATAAAGAACAAACGTTTGGAACACCCAAACGGGTTGGTTTTAGACCCTAAGTCAGTGAGTGGATGTGGATGAGGGGAGGTGCCCTATCCTTCCTCCCTATCCATCAGCACCCTTTTGGAAGTGCTCATGGTTTCTTTTTTGGGGGGTGGGGTTGAATGATCAAAGGTCAGTTTTCAGAGTAATAACGTACGGTAAAATGCATCATTAATACATATTAAGGCTTCGAGAGTGCAACATCTTTTCTGGGAATCATCTGGGTTGAAGGGAGTCACAAATCAACATGATGACTTTTGAGGTTCTTTCACCAGAAAGTGAGGGTCTTGAAGACCGAATCCAGTCGCATCATCTTCACTTTGTGGCACGACGAAGACGACTCTTCACTGTCAGAGCGTGCATCGCTGCTTCATGGCACCGCACTGAAACATCTCAATCCCCAACAATCCATGTGTTATGGAATATTTACATATATTTACCTGCATTGACCCTTAAGACTTAAGACATCTTAAAAATTCTTAAAACCACCCGGAATGATCCCAACATGTCAGCAGACAGTCACTTTCCCAACCGTTCCACGTTCCACCGAACGGTTCCGGGACGGCTCGGTGGAACGGAGTGAGGCTCCGGTTCGACTCGTCGACTCGGGTCTCCTCTCGGCTCCAAAACGAACGACCGTGTGGGTGCGAAGAGGACCATGGCCTGAAGACCTGTACCCTCGGTGGGACTGGGGTGGGTGCCAGGAGGGTCCAGTCGTGCCTTCTGAGAAGGTACGACTGGATCCCTAGGGGTAGTGTGTTCTTTTCCAATTTGAATGTCTTGCGGAGTGGGCGTGGGGTCTCCTGTTAAGACTGTTCTGATATATCCTGCCCAGTGGCTTTTGGGGTCCATTCATCGGGCAGGTATGTCTCCCGGCATCCGGTCTCAAACCCTGCACCTGTCGTGCGAGCTCATCTTCCCGCGCCTGCGAAGGAAATGGCCAAAGACAATGGACTCCGGAAGATGACTTTCCTTTAGAATCGTTCACTCTTCACTCCCATGTCGCTTTTGTTGCATGTTCATTGGCATGGTCGACTTCTCGGTGCCTCATTCTTCCTACCAAGGGTCCCTACCGAAAGCCCAACTCTGATGCAGGAACACCATTGAGGGATGTTGGACCAAGGGTCTAAGCGCTTGGGCTGGGAGAGCGGGGGGGTCTTCGATTGCTTGTTCAATCGCCCCTTCATCCGATGTTTTCCGCTCGATTGGTGCCCAGCGCCGACTGTCGCATGATCAACACCTCAAGCTCTTAGTACTACGGCTCGGGTCTTTTTGTGAAAAACCTGGAGCCGTGGACTCTGCGTATTTTTGCTGTTCTCCGGCTTCCTTTGAAAAAAGAGGGGGCGGCCGTTCATTCTTCGACCTGTGATAGTCGACCTGTTCTTCAGCCACCATGCGTCTTGATGGATCTTGATAGTATGACATGGTCTGGGGATGGTCCTTTCTGGGCCTGGGCATCTCTCTCTTCGCTTGACCGAGATAAAAACACATCCCTTATCCCGAATCATCTATACCCTCCCAGGCATACCAACATAGGCAAAACCAAGTCAAAAGAAAGACAAACAAATGACGAAAACCAAGCAAAGTACGACCCCCAGTCCGACTTACCTGGTTTCTACCTGAGGACACGGAGCAAACTCCACTGCATCACTGCAACATTTCCTGCCCAAATCGTTGTTTTTTGAGGCTTGAAGAACAGGCCTCCTGTTGAAGGATTTCGGCTTCTTCTTTCCAGCCTGGGCGATGTTTCTTTGGTGGAAAAATGCGTGTCTCTGCACCGAAGAGACATTCTCTTCCAGCAGTGTTTCTTTGGGGAAAAAATGTTTTTAGGTTCCTATATGCGAATCAGTGGGAACAACCCCGCATCCCTGGCTTTCTGCTCAGTTTCTGTCGAATAGACCGCCCAAGCGATGACAGTGCCACCCAAGCAATTCCGCGGCAATCACTCGACTGTCAGCCGACCCCTGGGCAGTGGTTGTTCTAAGTTCCTGTTCATGGAACCGTCATTCTTCGCTGACAATATCAACGGATATCAACGGCTGATGAACACCAGGACCTACTGATCATAACACATCACAGGACTTTTACCAGGTCTATGAGTCCGAGTACCTTTGGCCTAACGGTCTCTCAACGGTGGCGCCGAACAGGACGACCGGACCAGGGCCAAGGACGCAGAAGCTTCTCGTTCACCAGCCGTACGGTGTCGTCCGCCTTCTTGTAGCTGCTTCCTCGCGGCGGTGTGAGGACGAGTGGGGTTTGGCAGTGAGGACGATGGTAGCTAACTATATAGTACGAGTACTTGGTATAATATATATATATTGTAATTGTAATGTCTATACATTGACTGCCCAAACCACCCCAACTGAGTGGCAAACATGGCAGTCCCATGGAGTGTCTGGGGTATGATTAGCCCACACACGACCTGTCTGGGAGAGAAACACCTGTCCGTGGATAGCATGGCCTGTGGGTTTGGACTGTGAACTCATACCAAACAGGGATCAAGGGTTTTTGACCTTCTCTAAGGATCCGCACCCCTGCCACCCAAACAAGGGTTGGTTTCGGGGACGGCAGGGCTTCGACCCCTTGTTATAGGAGGCTCCGGACGACTGGATCCTTAGGGTTGTATCCCTGCAACAAATGATCACCGATCGAAGATGTGCAGGGCCATCGTATCCCTAGAACCTGAGTTTGACCTCTATTTTGGACCACCAACCACCCAAAATATTGCCAAACTTCCTATCAAAGCAGGGGTCAGGACTGAGTTCCAGGTCTACCTCACTCATCACTGAACTCGGCCAAGCGGCTTTTAGAGGCATCGGCGTGCTTCAGAATCGCGGAAGCTAAGCCTTGGGTGCACCGGCCCAGGGCCAGCGGCCACCGAGCGCCGACCGAGCGCCCAGGCCCACCAACGAACTTCCATGAACTACCCCACCTGGCAGTCACAATGGACCACTAAGTGGTATAAATGGACCACTAAGTGGTATAAATAGATTGAAGTTCGGCCCTTTTCACTCTCTGGAGAAGATGGTGAACCTTGATTCTTTGGGACTTCCTCACTATTGATGACCAATCGCCAGCACTCTGCCGTGGTTTTCCTGAGCTTTTTGCTCCGCCGAGTTCGCCAGCACTCTGGGAGTTCTGCTGTGCACGCCGCTGGGCAACACACACGGTGCCATCCCACGCATGCGTTGCACACGTTACTTCCAGAAAAGGCCAAGCTGGTGCACTTTGTCAGTCAGAACGGGGTACAAGGCTTCAGTGCCTAAGCGAAGTCATTCGGCGCGGTGCCCGAAAGAGATGAAGAAACGAGAATCAGGTTTTGCCGCCCGGAGACATTCAAAAGTCCGAAAAACAACTTGCTTTTGGAGCACGGCTGCCTTGATTGATCAATGCAGAAACACTGCATGAATTGAATTGACCCCTGAAAACAAACAAACACTCAAATGTATACCTGGAACCCCAAACGATCATCGTTTTTTGAGTGCCAATCAGTTTTGAGACGCCACATGGCATTGGTGTTCTGTTTTTGGGTGTTTGGCTAACAAAAAAGTCAAGGACTGCTTTCGCATGAAACCTTGCCGGAAACGAGCTGGAGACACCCAAACGCTTAAAAACACAACACAACATTTATAAACACGATTCAAACGACTAGAAACACAACACAAACGACTAGAAACACAACGCCGTTGCGTGAACCACCTGAAACAACAACAAAAAATACAACGCAAACGATCAACAAAACGACGCAAAAGCTCAACTTTATGGAGCAACTTTGGTGTTGTTATTCAAGACACTTTGAAATCCGTGGAGTGCCCTTTGTGACACCGGCACATATAGGTCTTGGATTGTGTTTTTTGATGGTCGATCAAAACATCTAAAACGACTAGATTTTGGGAGATGTTCCTGGCTCCAGGTATGTACATATGCCAGTTTTATGGGGCGTCTGGGATAGATGTTCAAGATATTCACAGAGGATCACCGAGGCCTCTATATACCAACGTGATTGGATTTCGCAATGGCGACTGCGACTGCGAAGAACCATCACCGGCAATGATCCGAGTTGGAGCTTGAGCGGACCCTCAAGGGGTGGTTAATGGACACCCCTTAACGGCTAAGGGGCTATAAATAGACACCCCTTGGAGTGTCCTTGCATGTTGTTTGGAATCCAGGCATCGAAATTCATGAAACCAACGGCCTCTGACATGAAACCAGGCGCTTTCCGTCAACACCAACAGGAACTCGGTCGCTGCTTTCTCTTCCTCACAGGCCCAGTCCAAGTCTGCTCGTAAGCGATCCATGACCACCAAGACCGCTGCGTTTTGCTTCGCACCGCTGCAGCCCGCGCCGCCGGCCTCGACACAGCCCCGCACCCAACATCACGCAGAATGCGGGATGGCATGATCTCAGAAAAAGCACCCAAACGCGACCCTGGGCCCGAACTGGAGGGGTCGGACGTCTGGGGTCGAAGCAATCCCTGTTTTGAAGTACCAAGGGTTGTGAACGGAGTGTCCGGGCATGCCATCCCCCTCAAAAATGATGGAATGTGTTCCTTCATTATATATACCCATAGACTCCATGGGACTGCCATATATATGCCAATCAGTTGGGGTGGTTTTGGGGCCAATGTAGGCATATTCCATACATGGAGTGTCTGGGTATACCTTCCATCCTCACCACGTTTCTTCGCCTGACCAATGATGCGCAGCAATGCCACCCAGAGCGACATCGAGCGGCGCAGCGCGATGTAGGCTCGCGCAGCCAAGCGGAAGCACTTGTCCTTGGGCCGGAGACTTTGGAGGAGAGTCTTCCGCGAGTCTCAAGGAGGGTTGGGCAAGGTAGTGTGGTTGGGGTGTTCTGCTGACAAGACCACTTGTTCAAGAGAACACTTTACATAAATCATGGCTAGTAGCGGCTACGAACACCAGTTTGGAGGGCCCCACCCGACTGTCGTGTTTGTCTGTGTCCGTTGATCCGTCCTCCTGGTTTTCGTGGCTCGGAAGGATTCCAGCACCACGGAAAGGGTGTCCATGAACCACCCCGGGCCCACCCCTTCGGGGTCCAGGTAATTGACAAGTTTTGGGAATGGTTCAGCTCCAGGCATTCCTCACACCTCAGCTCTGCAGAGCTCATCCAGGAAGTAAAAGACCCACGCCTCGCACAGGCAGCCTGCGCCAAAGGCTCTAAGAGATTTCCGGACTCGTCCATCTCCTGCATGAGCACCGTTGCAATCTGCTCCGGCAAGCGGAGCCGCGGCGCGAAGGGCTTGGGGTCCTCGCCGAAGATGAAGCCAAAGTCCTCAGGCACCGGCGGTCAGCCCCGAACGGCCGCGCAAACGGCGCCCATTTGGTGCGGTGGATCTTCACCTCGTGAGGCGAAACACTAAGCCCATGACAACCAGATGGGGATTTTTTTAGCGCTGGGAGAGGGAGATTGAATGAGACAAACGCGAAAAAAGGAGTCAACATCGATGAAAGAATGCGCAAACAAAAAGCACGTGCAAAACTATAAAACTTGATCGAAAAGCAAGTCTTGAAAAGGATTACTACACAAGGAGTCAAAAAGGCAAAGGCAACCAGAGTGGATCTGGCACTAGACTGTTGATGACTGTTAACGTTGTTGCGATGCTCTCTGCAGATCTTCACTGCACGAACACTCAGGGCCGATACTGCCCTATGTTTCCCCTTTTTGACAGCGGGCCTATATAACCTTAAGATACCAAATGCCAAACATCTTCGACCGCACCAGGACCATCTCAATTAAACAGACTCTTGCTCCTTCGGCCTTTGACAGTGCACGTGCAGACGTGCTGTTGTGAATCGACAGCAAAAACATGCCCTAGGGATCCAAGTACCTCCTCAAAAGGTACTTGGACCCTCCAAACCCACCCCAAACACCTTCTCAGAGGGTACTTGGATCCTTAGGGGAACAAAAAAAACGTGCACTGGCGCCGGCCTCCTGTCATGAGTGAACATCTGAACATCTTGCGGTCCAGGAACCTGGAAAACATCTATCCCAGACCCGGAAAAGAACGCCGTTTCTCCACAAAGGACATACCAAAAAAAAGGAGCCAGGGGTAATGAAGTCATGGTCCTGGTCCTGTGTTTGTCAACTCATACTTCGAGAACGGTACCCGGCGTGGAGACCGCTTTTCGCCGAACCACCTGCACCGATCGGCGGGAAGAAGGGACTGTAACAGCCAAGGGAAAAGAAGCGCGAAGGCCACTCAATTCATGTGGAAGAATAAACCCAAATATAATACATATATAACTTCTATAATCTTACATACAATAGGAAAATAATAGTAAATATATATATATATTAGATAAAGCGTCTGGGATAAGTATGCATATAAGCATTTAGGTCTCCTGCCCCCTCAGAGTAGGAGACCTCCAAGGAGGGTCCTTCAAGATCTCAACTCAGTCAGCACATCTCCTCCGCTGGGTGGCTGGAACATCTCCCACAGATTTGGATTTAGTCCTCACCCTTCAGATTCAGATCCCTTTGCCCTAGGAATCCAAACCTTCAAATGAAAAGGGGATGAGGGTGCAAGATCCAGCTGCGAAGATGTCGGATCTGCCCCGAACGTCGGAACGTCCAGGGATTAGGGTGGTTGACTTCGATCCCTGCTTTCGATCAAAGGTGCGATGTGGAAGAAATGTCCCTCAGGCGTGATCTGCAGGTTGTCCAGATGTCGATCTCCAATGCCCAGGACGTAAGTGGCCACGCAATAGGCCGCCGCGCTCCCACACAAGTTACTCAGCACCTGTGGAAAGGCTTGCCGGACGTCACCATGGGTTGGGAAGAACCATTGAATTCATTACCTCCGGGGTTCTGAGACCTACATGGAAGGGCGACCGGCATGGACCAGAACTGGAAAACGAGGTTCCGAATACCAACCCGACCGTGGTTTTTGCAGGTTCCACGTGAGTCTCGGGTTCCCCAGGGCGTAGATGATGCGCTGATCGGATTCGCCAGGGTGCCCTTTCTTTCGTCATCTGCCGCGGTTGATGTGTGGAAAGCCACGCGGCCAAATCACCGTTGCTCGAGGCAAACGCTTTAGAGAGGGAGACTGCACCAGGAACAAATTTGATGTAGCCAGCGTCTGGAGTCATCGCAAGCACACCTGAGTCACACTCACTGGCCGTGAGTCACCTCACTGGTCGAGAATCATTCACTCGAAAGCCGATGTTTGACATGCTTTCTAGGGACACCGACCCCCCCTGGAAGGAATATAGACCAAAACCATTGGTTGCGGGGTCGGGGTCTGTTCAAAACCACACCCACATGGACTCTGACTCTGGGGACTGTTGCACGAGCTGAGCCTGAGCGGAGCCATCTAGTGCTTCTGCACTCTGCACAGATTCATACAGATTTATAAATCCTACGTACCCATTGTACTCCCAAAAGATTATTACTCAATATTGCTCGATCCTCTCCCATTCAAAGCAGGAATTACACATCAAGGAACATGAACCTCCCCCCAAAAAAGCGCCGAAACCGCCTCTAGACTCCAGATTTTCTGAGTTTTCCAGACAAATTATCCTGAGTTTTCCAGATGTCGTTTCCAGAAAACGCCTCTAGACTCCAACAGACCGCACACCAAGCTGCGATAAGGAACGAAACGCAACAGTTCACTTTCTTCGGAGGGAAGGCGCTCTTCCCTCGGCACGAGGGTGAACTGATCATCCGTGGTCATGTTCCTCCATAGGTCCTTTTTGTCTATCTATCTATCTAATCTAATCTAATCTAATCTATAATCTAATCTAATCTATCTAATCGAATCGAATCGAACCGAATCCAATCCAATCCAATCCAATCTATCTATCATATTATGCATCTATCTGGCTTTTACTCCTGAAACCACTTGAAACCGATTCAGGATGGTACATGTACTTTGGGAACCTTTCCTGTGGATCGAACGCAGCCCCGTACTGAAGGAATCAACCCTACCGGGGTCCAGCCTGACCCGGGTTCAGTCTCCTCAGCCTGAACACCTCGTGGATGATGGGGCCTGGTTGCAGGCCTTTTATCATCTCTAAAATAGTGACATGATGTGATATATTATATACATGACTGTTACAGGTAATTAATGGGAGAAACCAAATGTGTGACCAACTCCAGTATTTCATGAGGTGAGTTCCTGAGTATTCCCGACCTCTAGGAAGGAGCCAATTGACAACAGCAGCACCGCGTGCGGAATCCGCAGATGAAAAAGAGCAGTTCGACCAATCGAGGTACGTTTGTCACATCTTTTATCATCTTTTGACCTCCAAGATCATCCCAAAAGGAGATCATTTGACCTGCCAGCAGAGGTTGAAGAACCCTATAGACTATCCTATAGGTACCCCTGCACCCCTGCAGGGTCCTAGTTCAGGTCACTTATTGACCTGGACCAGTGGACCGGACCATTGTGATCGCTTGCACGCCTCCACATTCAATCCCGCTCTTCTCCTCTCTGGCTGGGTGCCACCCACCACTGGTCATGGTGATGTTTCGCCCCACTGACTTCCAATCCGTGCGGCCAAACCATCTCCATGAAGTGTAAGAGCTGCAACACCAGCTGATCTTGCCCTGGCACGAAACAAAGCGGACGTGTCTCCTAGACGGGGAGGCCCAAGGAGCCACCGTAGCAAGAGGTTTTGTAAGGAGTGGTTGGCTTTTACACCCGGGAAGTGACCCACATGGAACCGGGCGACCGGCATGGACCAGACTGGAAGACGATGTTCCGAATACCAACCCGACCGTGGTTTTCAAGTTCTATGTGAATCTTCCCGGGTGCAGATAGTTTTAGGGCGAAATGCGGGGAGAACCACCAGCAGCCAAAATCTCTCACCAGCACCATCCAGGTTAGTAGTGTTTGACCATGCCAACCAAAATCCGAAGTTGCTGGTCACATACCTTGATTTTTTCCCATGCCGTGTGGGAAACTGGAAGCCACAGGTCATGACTGTCTGATTCGACTCGACCGTTGCATCTGGATGATGAACATGGCAATATGGGCCATGCCAATCCCTTGAGCAAAATCATGCACATCTCAAGCCCTTCAGAACCAATGGATGCCATTCCCTGGAATCATCAAGGTCCATCGCGTTTCCTGGCATCGGTCTCGGATGTTCGGATGGACACCCATTTCTGGCCAAACAGGTCGTGTCATTCACGTTCCTTCCGTGCTTTCTGGCCGAGTCGACGTGTGCTTTCTGGCCCCGAAGGCGTTCTGGCGCAGCGTCGGGGGGGTGCACCCGCGCGGGAACTGCACTTGAGAGGAAGGATGACACCCGTTCAGACTCCACAAGAAGCCCCAATACCAGGCTGAATCCACTTGCAGAACACTCACCTGGCCAGCCTCCAGCTGTGCCCCTAAAGAAAAACACCTCAACCACCTCCTGAGAAGGTAGTTGGAGCCTTTGTGGGAGGGAAGTTTCGTCCAAGGCACGTAGGTCGTCGCCCACCTTCACCATGCACTTCTCTCGCTTGGGCTCAGTAGAAGAACTGAGTGACAAAGACTCCAGTAGCAAAGGTGCAGCATTGGACTTCAGAATCCGGCAGTCCTGTACCAACAGCTTGCAGTGCCTTTTTTGGCGGCAGTTGTTTGTGGCAAACAAAGTCTGAACACGGGTTGCATCCAGCAACGACCATGGTGCCTTTCCGAAAAGGTAGCATGTTTATAGCACCATCTATGGTAGGCCGAAAATGATGCGAAACATGTGATCTTTTCCGGTCTCCATGTCCGTTTGGCCCAGTGGGCGGTCCATGACCAGGGCCTCAGTGGATGATGATGGTTCAGTTGCAGGCCTTGTTCAAGTGATGTTCTATGATGTTCTTCTTTACTGACGGCTCATGGGTCTAGAGGTACACTCTGACTGGAAGTGGATGGCATGGTCCTTTGGAAGGCTCCTTTCCTTTACAAACAGGGGGGGGGGTTTCACTCCAGGCCACCACGTTAATAGGACAAAGCAAAAACCATCAAAAATCTGTCCAAATGTTGGAGAGTGGTGAATTTTTTGAGCAAAGTAATCTGGACGCGTGACGCTACGTAGCTCCTGGCCTTACTACTAGGGGCAAGAAGCTACTAGGAACAAAGGGCATGGCTACGAACGGAGCGATCGGACGCTACGAACGTAGCTCCTGCCATCATTTCAAAGTGCTGTGCCACGTCTCTACCATAGGATTCAAACAACAATTGTTTAAAATGGTCTTTACCAAAGAACCATTGCTTTACTAAGGATTTTTACACTACACCACCAGCTCAACAGTTCTATTAATGGTCTTTGAAGGCTAGGGTCTGTTTGGGGACTTCTTCCGTGGCTGGACACACCGAATGGAGGCCCAAGCTCCTGAGCCGACAAGCCCAAGTAGCGCACGCCCGGATCGACCGGCGTGGTGATGAAGCCCTGGCCGGCCATGTCCGGTGGCATCTATATCTAGGGCTCCTGGCATATCCTCTTCCATATCCTCAGGTGGTATTCGACCCCCCTGGCACCCACCCCAACCATCGAACCTCAGGAGGTGGGCCAGGAGCCCTAGCGATCATATACCCTAAGGCCCTAAGGATCCGCATCACCGTGAACTAGAGGGCTTCGACCGGTCCCGCCTTGCTTCGGGTCCGGACGGTCCAATTGGTTCAGGGAGGGTCCGACCCCTGCGATCTGATGCGAACGGGGCCGGGCCCAAGGAGAGGATTCTTAGGGCAGCACAAAGAGGTTGGTGCTTCAGTTCCAAGATGCTATGGAGGATACAGGTGCCCATAGGTGCCCATGATCCACTCAAGGTCTAAGAGCCAGCCGTTTTCAACTCATGGTTTGTTCAACTCATGGTTTATGTTGTATTTGTGTTTCTTTGGGGGGGCAGTGGGCAGGGCAACACGATTGACGCTTCGGGGAGCCGTCACTGGGCCGTCACTCCGACAAGTGTCGAAGTGAGACACTGAAACGCATCATGTGTGGAGCAGAAGTATTGCCTCACAAACAAAAAAAACATCAACCCAAACGCTCCGTTCACAGCATTTGGGGTCTCAAAACCTAGGGAATTGGTTCGACCCAGACCCCTTCAACAGGATTCGGGTCCGACCCCTCCAAAGGATTCGGGTCCAGGGTCGCGTCTGGGAAATTGCATTCACCCAACTGATCGCATAACGAGTCGGACCCGCACGCGTCCGATCCTCGCGCAGCGAAGCGAGCGACCACAGCGATCCACAGCGAATTCACCCCAATGAACAAAACACTTACCCAGACGCGACCCTGGGCCCTCATATGGAGGGGTCTGGGGTCTCAAATCCCTAGGGTTTTGAGGTACCAAGAGCTGTGAACGGAGCGTCTGGGTACTTGAAGGTCTTGAACCCGAATTAAAAGCCAGCATTAACCCAAATGAAACCATCACAATAACCCGAATGAAACCATCACAATAACCCGATGAACCCGAATGAAACCAGCACCCTCCACCAGGTCTTTTCGGCTTCCCAAGGGCCCGATAGCAGGTCTCTTGGTGCTGTGGTCTCCAGTCGGGTCCAGGCAAGCCATCGGCACTCATCCACGGAACGAAGAAGAATTACATACATGCCCAAACGCTCATGGGCCTTCGTATGGAGGGGTCTGGGGTCTCAAATCCCTACCTGCTAAACCTTATAACCACCTTTTGTTGTCCATGTCGCTAATTGTTGTCTTTTGGTATGCAAGGACGAGAATTGTTGTCCGGGACGTGTTTTACCGTAATCGCTGAACTTGGTCTTTTCACAACACTCAAATATATCAATTGTATTTAGGCTTTGGACGTGAAAAACCGTTCAGCATTTCAAAAGGACGTAAATTCACAAGATGAACGTAAATGTTGCGAGAACTTGCAAAAAGCTATCTTTTAGCATCCTGGACTGGAATTGGTATCTATCCAGGGTAGCAGGTAGGTTTTGAGGGACCAAGGGTTCTTTGGAGCGTCTGGGTTTACACTCCCTGAACTCGGAAGTCAAAAGAATGACATAGATCCCCCCAAATCCATGCTCCTCGATGTTCCTCTACTAAACCATGGTGGTTCCATGTTGTTCCCCTTCGGCTGCGGTACTCTACGGCTGCGGTGTCGCTCCTCCGGATGCACCAGATTCACCGCCTCGAGCGCTGCTGACCTGTAGCGCGGTCCGAACGTTCAGGGTGACCTGGCATACCTCTCGTGGGACATTGCGAGGTGGCCAAAAGCAAGGAGAGATGCGCAAAATTGCACAACAAAAAAGTTGCAGAACAACAAACAACAACAACAACAACAACAAAGCAAAGAGCGTGTCGAATCAAGCCCAAGTACCCAAAAACAAATTCGGAGAAACATGGAGCGTCACAGAAGTCGAGAATTGGGGAAGCAACAGTTCACCTGTTTTTCAGGTTCTGTGTGCGTCCCGGAACCAGGGCATAGTGGATGGCATGACCTGCAACTAAGGCCATATTTTCTCTACTAAAGATGTGGTTTCTCCTCCACTTCTTTAGCGCACTTCGCCAAAAACAATCCCCACCATAGCCACCAGGTGACCAGGTGGTGAAAGTGGTGAATCTCCACCTCCACCCCAAACACGCAAAAACAGATCCATCCGAGTTTCAGATCTAATTGGACCAGCTCTTGGAAATAGTTGTCCTCCAAGTCCTCCAACCTCACCTCCAGAGAACCACTTCACGGTGCAACACGGTGCAACAGCAAAAACCCATGTCAAGCAACACCTGGAACACGCAACTCGAGGATACACCCGAACCATGTCAAGCACACTGGAACACTCATTTCGAGGATTCGAGAGTCCACACCCTAGGGATCCAAGTACCTCCTCAAAAGGTACTTGGACCCTCCAAACCCACCCCAAACACCTTCTCAGAGGGTACTTGGATCCTTAGGGACAGAAGAGTCCGGGCCCCCTTGAGCCCACACACCTCCGGTTCTTGGGAACCGATCCGGACCCCGGACCCCCCGGACGCGGTAGAGACGGTGTCGGATCGTCGGATCCGGGGAGTAGGGTGGTCGGTCGGGCCCGAGCTCGGGAGTTCTTGGAGAGCTATATAGCCATTGGCTCATGTCGATCTCTTGATTGAAGTAAACCCCTCCAAAGGTGAAGTGAAACAAGAGTTGCAATCCAACCTGGGGTTTTCATGCAGCCGTGCGGGGGGGGCTGATCAAGAGTCTATAAATTACAGGCTATGCTTTGGGTATATCCCTGGGCCCAGTGGATGATGATGGTATAGGTAGTGATCATTGTTTACCGACCGTCACAGCCGTGCCAGTGCTTGCCATGTGGAGACCGATAAACCAATGCTTTGGGGAGCGACCACACTGGTCGCTCTAGAGTTGCGATTCCCAGTCACTCCCAGGCTCGCTGCTCCGAATCACGAGCAGGCTCACGAGAAACTCGTTCAACCAGGAGTCACAAAAGGGGTTGGTTTTGAGTCACCAAGTGAGTGGGTACAGTAAGGGGCCGTGTGCTTCATCGATGTCTACCCAAGCTTGGAATGCCCCAGCTGCTCTTCCGATATCCTAACCAAACGCCTGAACCGAACCAGAAAACGGTCAATACGGTCAAACCGAACATGAATTTCAAAAGCTGGGAAGATACGCTCCACCAAGTCAAAAACAGAAGAACTAAATGCGATTGTTCAAGCATATCAACAACAAGTTGGACTACGAGCGGGTGACCGGACGTGTCAGC